ACATCTTTGCAAGCCTTCTGGTTAGTGTTAAGAGGTGGTTAGTCTTAGCATTTCATTGGAACTGTAGGAACATATGACTAGTAGGACACTAATCTGGCACCTAGTGAATTGTGGATTTAAATATTATTTCCCGTCATGGAATAGGAATGTGTGAACTTTGAAGCTTTGCATTTCCTTTTCCTAGACTTCAATCTTTCCATTGGAACTTGTGGACTTTGAAACTTGAATGTGCTTAGGGAAGCCTCAATCTGAGGGTACAATTGACATAAAACAAGTGAACACTATATGCTATTACAGAAATAATTTTATTTTTTCAGAAAAGAAAGTGATGTCATTGTTTTTGAATGTGGTTTCCTCAGGAACAGGTAAGACAACAAGGAGAATTCGAGTCCATTCACCGTGACTTGATTGTTGGATTTGGGACCTGGGAATTCAGCCCTCTGGATCTTGAAAACCCATTCCCTAACAATGAAGGTTCCGTCCACCTGTGGCATGGAGCTGATGATCGTTTGGTACGTGTTGAACTGCAACGCTACATTGCCCAACGGCTTCCATGGATTCACTATCATGAGCTGCCAGGTGCTGGGCACTTTTTCCCACAGGCTGATGGGGTGTGTGATAACATTGTCAAGGCACTTTTAACTGAGGGGTAGTAACCTTCCACATGCTTAATGAGCTACCTCAGATGAACTTTTTTATGCATTTCTTCTCCGATACGGAGAGAATAAGATTTCAGTTGATCATTTTGGTATGTATGATAGATCTTGTATTAGCCAGCCGCCTTTATATATTGTTGCATCACAATGTAATTGTTTCTTAGGGATTGAATTTTAAAAAGTGGGGTTTGAGAAGGCGAAACCAGGATTGCTTTTTGGTAGTATTTGGATTCGGAGGTATTGAATCCGAGATTAAAGAAAATTCTTGCATGTTTACCATGTTAAAATTTCATTTACCAGCACCTAGCCCAATTCAGGATGGGGAAGCACATCAATTCATGTTTAAAGTCACTTCAGACACAAATAATACATGGGTTTAAATGACCAACACAATTTCTTCTACTGTATCAATACAAGATACATTAAATAAAAATGCTCCTCCGCAATTCTGGGCAAACCAACTTAGAACCTCACCCTTTTTGGATCAAATCTTCTTCTCATAGTTCCAATCTGCTTTGAACTCAATCCAAAGGCCTTCTCCAAGAGCTCATCATTAATCCCAGACCCAAAAATGGCAGATGGGATCTTTTGCATTCCTGGGTTTTGGCTATTGAAGCTTCCAAAAATTGTAGCAGGCTTTTTACCAACATTCATTTGGAAGTGCACTAGACCCCTAGGGAACACCATGACTTCCCCTTGTTCAATTACCCTAGCAAAAACCCTATTGGTTGAATCAACAAACCCTGAGTAAACACTCCCTTGCACTATATGGGATATTTCTGTGGCTCTTGGGTGAAAATGTGGTGGATTGATTCCACCAACGTTGAGGTCAGCTCTTACAAATGACATCCCTAGTGTGTTGATCCCGGGGAAGATTGTTGGGTTGACTGAGATGGCTGCGAGGCCCGTGTCAGTGAAGTTTCCGGCCACCTTCATCCCGGAGAAGACGAAGTCATCGGTGGTAGCCTCGGATGAGTTCTTGCATGGGAGGAAGGTGTGAAGAGGTGTTTTTATGGCACCTAATTTTGGGTTTGGTATGCAATAGTCTTGAACTGGGTCAGGGTCAGAAGCCAATGTCATGGCACATAGGAGGCAGAAATTAACAAACAAAGGGGTGAGACTAGGAGACATTTTTCTTGGTACAAACGCGCTCTTGAATTGGGTTACAAGCATATATAGGGGTCTATGTGGGGTTTTATAGAACTCAATATATAATTGAACTTTTAAGCTCCTCTAAATGATCACATTAGATTTAATTAAAAAGATTATTTGCAGGATACAAGGCGGGTTTCATGGAATTTATCTAATTTGGACCCCCATAATTAATAATAATTTCAACTAGTAATGAAAATTATAAAAACGACGTGGACGACAACCATGATTATGATGATTATTCCTTCTCCATGAGAGCGGCGCCTGCATTTTTTTTTACTTTTTCCTCTTTTTGGTCTGCCAATATTTCTGCACAATTCATTTGCATGTGGCCAAGCAAAATGAATAATTTGATAAAGATATGAATGATAGGTAATTTTCTTTGCTTGGGAGTGAAGGGAAGACAACTATTTGAGGGATGATTAAATCCACGCATTGGTGATGTGATCATTGTTTGGGCAAATGCTATGCCAACAGATGAATATTTCCTTGTCCCATGATGTATACATCCCGGGATAGAGAAGTCACACAACTCCCTTCCCTTCTCCTTCAAAGTATAGGGGTGAGAGAGAGCATATACTTTTCAAATTCTCAGTTGTGCCTTGTAATTTCTACCTTCTTTGGTTTTGACTGGGCCGGCTTCCTCCTCGTTAAAAATATGAAGTCCACACAGATGAAAGTGGGTCTGGCCCAGCCCACATTCTTGAAATAAGACTTCAAATTACCCAAAAAGAAACCAAAAGTGGGTCTCGATCAGATAATGAAAACTTGAAGAATGAGAAACAAGTTTAGCTCCTATAAAAGATAACTATCGAAATTGTTTTTTTCTTTTTGGGTCAAAGGGTGAAAGTACGTATTTCTGCTGTTGGGTAAAAATATTGTTTTTGAATTGTTCTCTCACGGTTTGTGGGAAGGGGATTGGGTCGCAAATCTCATATGATTTGCCATGCTTTTCATTTTTGAATATGCACAGCCTGTCCATATGTGCATTTTGGTACTTGGTTGTCTGACCCTGCACATTGTGTTGGTTTAGACCTAGCATTCTGGGTTAAGAAATGTTAACGGGACTTGCTTGAAAGAGAGTCGTTACATGAACTTGCTAGTTACCATCATCTCATGTTTTTGTTCACTTTACATAATAAACATGAGGGGCCAGAAAGTCCATGTAGGAACTCTATTTTGATTTCTCTCATGAGAATAGAGCTAATTAATTGGCATTAAGCAATTATATAAGCAATACCAAAAGGATAACAATATATCCTGATCGACGTCCTAAGTTCGAATTTTGATATAATGCTTACCAGCTTGAAAACACGCGGACTTCTCTCCAGTCCATTTTATTTGAAGGGATATAAATTCGAATCCTCCTTAACTTGTGCATAATGAAGACAACATGGGGTAAGTAGGTATCAGAGTATGACAATGAATTGTTCCCAACATTTTTCTCTTTTCTTGCAATGGCACACACTAACTGTTGAACAAGTACATGAGCTACTTATATCCTGCCAAAAATACAACAATAATGAAAAATCAATTGTACTGGAGGCATCTGGGAAGGGATATATGAATATTGGACCACTTCCACTGTTGCGTTCTTGTACAAACAAGAACAAGATCAATACCAGCAGATATACCAAACCTCAAATCAGCGGCTACTGAACCAGAAGAACCACCTCCAACATGGGTTTGCTACAAATCCACCGAAATTTGAACAAAATCTCGAGGGCAAATTCGTCAAACGAAACAAAACAAAGAACAGATGCTCACGTGGCCCAGATGCCCTAGTTCTCTCGTAGAAATTACTTCTTGCATGTGATCTCCTCGCAGTTCATAAGGATGCACCAATGCATTGACCAAAGGTAAAGAGTATGTACTTGACTAGTTACAAACTTTGACATATTAGGTTTGCAGGTTCGAGTTGTCATGGATTAAGTACAATATCTGAATTTATCAGATATGCGTGTTTTACAAATGGGTTAATTAATTACAATTTTGGTCATTGGAATTTAGTTCGAAATCAATTTTAGTCACTGTAATTTTAATTTTCCTGATTTCGTCACTGTACTTGCAATCGTTAACAAATCAGGTCCAAAATTGCAACTCCCTCATTTTGTCATTGATTTTAGAGTGAATCCTCTCTAATTTAACAAATACAAAGATTCATAGAGTGATTAATACCTCATATTCATAAACCAAATGATTATAAAAAGTCGGATTGTCTAAAAACAGAATACAAGCCTATTATTTAAATATTATTATTATATCATATACATTTTCTATTATTTTCTGGCCGGAGAAGAACACGTGTTGCTTCTCCAACAAAGACCTCTCCTGCTGCAGCCACATGGCTAACAGGTGTCAAGGGCTCGAAGCATTGTCTAGTTTTGGCACTTTGAGGCTTCAAATTTTTATATGAACGACTATAGAGACTGATGCGATTGACTTGTACGCAAAAGTGGCGCAAACTTTGACATATTAGGTTTGCAGGTTCGAGTTTTCATGGATTAAGTACAATATCTGAATTTATCAGATATGCGTGTTTTACAAATGGGTTAATTAATTACAATTTTGTTCATTGGAATTTAGTTCGAAATCAATTTTAGACACTGTAATTTTAATTTTCCTGATTTCGTCACTGTAATCAGGTCCAAAATTGCAACTCCCTCATTTTGTCATTGATTTTAGAGTGAATCCTCTCTAATTTAACAAATACAAAGATTCATAGAGTGATTAATACCTCATATTCATAAACCAAATGATTATAAAAAGTCGGATTGTCTAAAAACAGAATACAAGCCTATTATTTAAATATTATTATTATATCATATACATTTTCTATTATTTTCTGGCCGGAGAAGAACACGTGTTGCTTCTCCAACAAAGACCTCTCCTGCTGCAGCCACATGGCTAACAGGTGTCAAGGGCTCGAAGCATTGTCTAGTTTTGGCACTTTGAGGCTTCAAATTTTTATATGAACGACTATAGAGACTGATGCGATTGACTTGTACGCAAAAGTGGCCCCCGACACTTCTCCGGAAAGATAGAGGTGTGGTTATGGAATTGCTCGATCCTTCTCCTCAGCACACACCCAAACTCTTCCCATGTATAAGCTAGCTCTCTCTCTCTCTCTCTCTCTCCGTACATAATAACCAAAAAAATAAATATAAATAAAAAAATAAAATATAAATAGAGCCTACCCTTTAAACTTGGTACTATTTATATACCAAAGCTTGAAGCAGAAGTTCATTACCAGTACTTGGTTATGTGAGGTTTGAGCTTGTTTTGTTGGCCCTTCAGATCTGTCCAAGGCTAATATTATACTGTCCTGTCCTGTCCTGGAGTATATTGGGTTTCTGGCATTAGTTCTTTCTTAACCTTCTCTCTCTCCAGCTTCCCAGATCAAATATATACATTCAGTCAGAGTCAGGTACTTTTTCTTCCATGTTCATAGCTAGCAAGTTCTCTTTTTCAAATCTCTGTATGCTTTTAGAACAACCCATCTGTTTAAACTTGTTTCTGTGATCTGTGTTTGCATGTATTTGATGATTTTTATGTGCTGGTTCTGGGATCTGAGACTTGTTGATGATGAATAATTTTATTCTTTATGCAAATAATTGGTGCAACTTTTTACAGGCTTTATATATATTTTGGTCACATTTTTCTTGGTGGTGTCTAATAATTGTTGAAATACCACTGATTGCAATACTAAAATAGGAAAGATTCCCTTAGCTTTTGCTATCTACCCATGTCCTACATTCTATTCCCATTTCCTATTTTTGGAAATGCATAATTAATTGCAGATATTTAGACACCTCGTCATTATATACTCGTTTAATATGGACCACCATCTCATAAAAGGCACGTGAGTTTCTCCAATTGTTTATCAATCTCATGCTTAAGATTAAGCAAAACACTAATTAACCCTTTGTTAATTCCAATTGGTCCCTCCAAGTCCAAGCGCAGCAGTTTTGTCCTTAAAATTTTGTTGGTAGGGACCACCGTAGAGAGATTTGTTGTCTTGTAGTTTCTGTATAGCAACATTTGGAAAATTCATACTGAGGGTTGCTCTGTTTTGTTGATATAAATTTGGAAAATTCATACTGATTGGGTTTTTGTGCTTCAGTTTGATCAGGTCTGTTAGAATTCAGGAACCCAATATTCAATCAAGTGCAGACCACACGAAAACATGGGGGTTTCGGAGTCCGAAATCATCTCCCATGACGAGGTCGAATCGCCATTGCAATCCGACCAGGAAGCCAAGAACCACCTGTTCTCCTCATTGGGAAGACAGTCCTCCATCTACGCTCTCACCCTTGATGAGTTTCAGCACACCCTCTGCGAGAATGGCAAGAATTTTGGCTCCATGAACATGGATGAGTTTCTCACCAGCATTTGGACTGCGGAGGAAAACCAAGCCATCAATTCAAACCACACCAACATTAACAACAACCATAGCCACCAAAACAGCAACATGAACAACAACATTGATGCGCACATGCCTTTAGCAGAGGCCTCTGAGGAGAAGGCCGCCGCCATAGCCAAGCAACCCAGCTTGCCACGCCAAGGCTCGTTGACTCTGCCTGGGCCGCTGTTTCGGAAAACAGTGGATGAAGTTTGGTCTGAGATACACAAAGGGCAGCAAGCAAAGCAGCAGAACAGTCACAGCAGCAATGATGGTGTTCAGAATTCCGAGTTTGTCCCTCGCCAGCCTACTTTTGGGGAGATGACATTGGAGGATTTCTTGGTTAAAGCAGGGGTAGTTCGGGAACCGGATTCTATGTTGGCGGCCAGGGCCGTGCCGCTGCCTCAGCCCCAACAGCAGCAGCAGCTGTATGGGATGTATCAGAACAGCAACCAGGCAGTGGGGCCAAGTTTTGCTAACAGGCCTGTGATGGGAATGGGGGCTGCTGGTGCTGCAGGCGCTAGTACTAGTACTGCTGCTGTTATGCCTAATTACCAGAGTATGCCCCAAAATGGGGCCACAGTTGTCGCAGAGTCGTCGGGGTATGCTGCAAATGGCAAGAGAAATGGTGTGTACCCAGCAGTGCCGCGTCCACAGGCGGTTTGTTTTGGAGGGAGAGTGGTGAATGGGGGTGGTGGGTATGCAGCAGGGCAGCCAATTGGGATGGCAGCTCCTGTGAGCCCGGTATCCTCCGATGGGATGTGTACTAGTCAGGTTGAGAACTCTGGGGGTCAATTTGGTTTGGACATGGGTGAATTAAGAGGAAGGAAGAGGATCTTAGATGGACCGGTGGAAAAGGTGGTGGAGAGGAGGCAGAGAAGGATGATTAAGAACAGAGAATCTGCAGCAAGGTCTAGAGCAAGGAAACAGGTATCTCATTTCTTTTTCTGAGTCCTAATTCAACTGCTCGTATATGATCAGTAATTTAAGTATCTTTTTCTGATGCTTTCGGTAAGATAGACATTGTTTTATTCACAATTGATCATCAAGAATTTAGTGATGGGGTAGCAAAATGGTCCTTCTTTTGTAATAGTTTGAATCAACATAATTGCATTATCCCAGGTTGTTATAGATGGATTGAGCAGCAGCTTTAATTTATTATTCAATTTTTTCAATGCTGTCATACATATATAGGCAAAGCTGCTAGCTTCTACAAGCTCTTGACAAAGTAGACCAGATAGGTAGTTGATGAATATGATTTTGCTGAATGCTGATTTTCTACCAAATTCAGTACGAAGCAGTTTGTGAACTGCTAGGTAAGCAGTTGAACCCGCAATCGAAATTTTGAATCATGAAGGATTTTGGTGGACACGGTTGAATTGGAAGAAACTGTTTTATTCTTTCAAGAAGAATCATGGCAAAAATTTCCTTTTTAGTGATATGTGCTGCTTTTACAGGCATACACAGTTGAATTGGAAGCGGAACTGAACCAGTTAAGAGAGGACAATGCACACCTTAAACAGGCGCTGGTAATGACATGGGAAACATTTTGATGCGTCAAAAGCTTTCTGCCTTCTTTTGTTTCTTGTAATTATTTGCTCTTGCTGATCGGGTTAACATGAACAGGCAGAGCTCGAGAGGAAACGAAAGCAACAGGTAATTCTTGCAGTTAATTTCTCATTGTAGCACTTTGCAATGGATGAGTAACAAATGCTTTCTAATAACTTTGAGGTCTGTATTTGGAGTAGAATGTTATGTTCGATAGCGAGTTTGATTCACAATCTCACAAAATAATAATACCATTTTCGTATATGTTTGTGCGTGACTGCACATTTAATAATAGGCCTATGTTCTGTAAAAGATGCTATTGATCACATTATGCATCTTTACTTTGCAAACTTCAGATTCACAAACCGCACAATTATGCATCCTTAAATCTTTTATCTAATTGAGATGGTTTTGCAGTACTTTGACGAAATGCAAATGAGAGTTCAGAGCAGGGCCCAGAAAGCTAAGGAGAAGCTGCGAGTGTTGAGGAGGTGTCATAGTTGCCCCTTATGATATGCAAGACAGAGAGATGGTAACTTCATTCGAGCTTTGTATTTCAAGTTGCCTTTGGACATCTTCTGCCTTTTCCCAAATCAATGTGTTATATTTCTCTACTTAACAAGTTCTTCCATGCAGATCATTGAGGAACAGAATTGGAAGCTCCCACCAAGAGAGGATTGAAACTGTGCAAGCTAACCCCAATGTTGAAATGGCTACAAGGTGGAGCAAATGATTGAGTGATCAACAACGTAAATGACCATGAGAATATGGATTGTTGAAATAAAGTTGAAATCTGTAAAATCTAGTAGAATAATATTAAATTTGAGATGCGGGTTATTGTTCTTATAAGTTATGTATTAGGCTTAATGGTATGTGTGCTGTAGTTTTGTATTCATCAAATTACAAGTCTTCTGGAATAATTGAAGTTATTAGCATAAGCTAAAATTCTTTGGAATTAGAGCCTCCTACCCAAAACCAGTCTAGCTAGCACAAATGCAAGACTTCCATTTCTACCCAGAACCATGCCCCTTGACATGTCGTCTCGTCTCTTGGGCTTAATGCGCATTCAAGTCTACTCTGATATCATATAGGATTAGAGCAAAGGTTTTAACTAAACAGAAAGTCGTCTACAATGATTTGCGATCTTATTTTAATTGAATAGCAAGTAATCTACATTGATTTGCAATCTTTATATTTGTGTTTGCAAGGGTTTGCAAGATTGGCTTGGTTGATCATGTTCATCAAGTCAGACTGGACCTAATACTCAGTGTGAGTTGACTGGTCAAGCGTTGACTGAAAAAAGAAAGTTTCCCATTGCATAAAACTAAAAGAACAAGTTACACTCTAGAAGCTTGAGATTTTTACGTGTTCTATTTTGGGGCTTTTCAGGATAAGGTACCTTCACACCTAAATTGTATGGTCGGCCTCAAAACTAGCTACTCTTAAAATTGCATCAACTAAAACGGGATGCGTGTTTCAAAAATACTCATATATTACGTGTACTTACTAACTATGCACATTCTCTGTGCCTTGTATATACCTCTGATATGCACAATCTCTGGTTAACCGGCCTTCTTTTTCTTGGTGGTTAAAAATTCTTAATCTAAATCCAGGTTTGGTTTGAGGGCTGGTGTTCGAGCGCAACGCGCGAAAAGAAAAAAAAGAAGAAAAAAGAAGAAAAAACAAATAAAAGAATTGTCTTGGACTTGGTTTAGCATTATTATATTCATCAAAAGATCTCTTTGTTCCCTGCATCTCTAGATCTCTATTCAACCATGAGTTCGAAAAAATGTTGCTGTTGCTGCTGCCTCCTTCTCTTATTATTTTTGATCGTGGGCATGATTGTTCTTTTCGTGCTTAAAGAAAAATTAGGGCCGTCATTAGAAGCGCGCTACAAGGTGACGGATGCCTCATTGAGCCAGTTTAGCATGGGGTCTGGCGACAAGCTAGAATACAATCTAGCCGCCAACATGACCGTTGAAAATCCTAACAAATATTCTGATTACAGATATGACAAATTTATAGTTGTTCCCTCTTACGGTGACGAGGATTTAAATGAAGTTTCTTTGAGCGCATTCGAAGTAGCGAAGAAGAACACATCTGCATTGACACCTCTAGTGTTCAAAGGGCAGAAATCGGTGTCTCTTAAGGGCGATGCAGCGTCCAACCTTAAGAGTGGTTCGGTTTTTGAAATCATTTTGAAGATCAAGATTAAGATTATGAGCAGGGCTGGTAAGGTTGAAATTTACAACGAGTATAAGGAAGAATGCAAATTGAAGGTTCCTTTGTTGAATTCCAAGGGAAAAGCTTCTGAAAAGTTTGAGAGTACAGATTGCAAAAAGGTTCGGTTTAGCTTGAAATTAGACTTTTGAAGTAATTAATCAAATATATGCTTTTTGTGTGGAATTCAAACCTTTATTTAACTTCAAGTATAATCTCATCTCTGCGCAGGTTGGAAGCACTAGTTCGGGGATAAAGGTGTGATTTGTACATTTGAGTCATCTCAAGACCTCGTGGAAGGTAAGCCAAATCAATGTTCTAAAGCAAACAAGAGAACTAGCTTGTTGGATTTCATTTAAACCGTTGTTAAGTACATTTAAACCATCGTTAAGTAATAACTAACTTTTCGTCCTAGACTCCTAGTGCTTGTATATTGTAATGGAAAACAATTGTGTACATAATGGAAAATAACAGAACTCAATGCCTGATGCAGATTATTGGGCAGGGGATTTTTTAGAACATGGTCTACAAGAGGTTTTGTGATCTTTCTGGGGTTCCAATAGAATAAGTTGAGAGCTGCGAGGAAGCAAAGTGATAGTGGCTAGGTCTTCCACTGAGGTAGAATAGGTGTTCAGTCTTATTACCAACCACAACAGCAAATATGAGTGCATGCAATCTGCATGTGTTTCTTCCTTATCAAGTTTTCATGGCTCTGGTTAAGCACAGATAGAGATTAGATTATCATTTATTACGTGAAAAAGTTATTCTCAAGGAGGCTCAACTTGTGTTGGTTGCCACTCAGTTTGTATGGCGTAGGGACTTGTTATGTGGTCTCTTCCTCCATCAGACTTATGTACTTAAGAATCGTTGTTCTCTTCTGATAATGAGTGTAGGAACATTTTACTTTTCTCTATGAAGTTTTTAATTATACAAGCGATAGTCTAAATTAATCTAATTTACGGGGAGTTGGATTCGAACTTGGGTGCAAGGAAATGGGCATTCCACTAACCAAGGGCGGAACCAAAAAAATTTCAAAGCATGGGCTAGCTAAAGTTATTAGCTTAAAATATAAGGATCTTTTTTTTTTTTTTTTTTGTACTTACAATTTCTATAATTTTTCTAGAAATAAAATTTTACATTAAATCATATAAACCAAGTAATTATAAACACATAAAAAGAAAAGAAATAAGATTGTATTATTCGCAAATGGTGAATTTTATTTAGAAAAATGCTTCTTGTTTGGAGACTGGAGACAAATCAATGAAAAAGTTTAAAATAGGAGAGTTGGGGCTAAGGACTTTACCCTTACTTAATTGGTGTTGGGACAATCTTTGACACCAGATACAAACGTGGAACAATATTTGACATCAACTACAAACGTACGTAGAAGACCTCTAAACCAAAAATTACTCCTAACTATGTGTAATTTTTGGTTTGCGTGACTGCGGGATGATTTGTCGCACAAAGTATACTAGCACGACAAATGTTTTAGTCACGAATGTAAAAAAATATAAAATTATTATCCATGGAAGTTTGTGCGACGCATACATTTTTTCGTCGCACAAAACATCATATTGCGACGAATATGTTTTCATCGCGCAAACTAAAAAATGTAGTGGTATTAGTGTTGGCAAGGTATGAAATTGTGTATTTTTATTTACAAGTTCACATACTGGGCTATATAGGTTTGATTGATTTTTTTCCCCAAAAATCTCCATGGGCTACAGCCCACCTGAGCCCACAATGTGATTCCGCGCATACCCTTAACCAACTGGCCTAACCCTAGTTTCATAATGTTTCCAAACATTTAAGCACGTCATCAAATATAACATCCAAGTTGAAGCATACGAAGAAATGTTTGATATGGGGCCTAACTCTTGCTCAATGTACCATCCAAAAAATGAGTCGTCTCGCAGATAGGCAAAGAGTGGTTGCGTTTCCAAAACATTCAGTAAGTTTGCTAGTTTTTCTATGCCCAAGAAAATGTTTTGGAAGTTCCCATTGGCAGATCTCACGAAATTACTCCTAAAATGCGTTGATGTCGTGTGGTAATTGTTGGCGAGTAGAGCATATCCTATTCTATTTGGGTTTTATTTATTTTTCCTTTTGTGTAGATATTATGTAATTAGGATTCCACTTATTTCCTAATTAAACCCTATTAGGGTTTGTACCCTGTATTATAAATACCTCATTTCGGAGAATGAAATATATCTGAAAATATTCTACCCATATTGTTTGACTTGGTATCAGAG